ATTGGCGTTCGAGGTGCGCGTATAAATTAAAAAGTAGAATGTGCTTCAATCACAAGAGTTAGGCAAATAAATCCGATGGGTGAAGGGCCTATCTATTATCCCTTATATATACGATTATTTTGAAATAATCATCTTAGCATCTCTAGCGTCCATTAATGGTATTTGTGAATGCAAGATTAGTTTAAAACTTGCTGGTGTCCGTTGGACTTCTCCAGGTAACTTTGAGGGTAACACCAATTATCAGTTAAAATGCAATCAGCAAAAATCAGTATATTACTCAAAGAGTCTACCGGTCCCAAATACCGCATCTTGCACGCATGTTCTCTAAACGAACGTACGCATAAATTCTATATGAAAAATGCGCAGGTACACCTCATATAATTTTGAAAACCGTTACAATCTGAAAACTGATAAGGAAACATAAACATCGCGGTCTCTGCAAAAGGTAAATACTTTTTCATATTGTCCTCAATACGCAAATTGCATTCGTATTTTTTATATAGACCACCACATTTTGGTTGCTACTATTTTCTACCTTATTAAAGCTTTATAGTTATATTCCTTTGCTCAACTAATAGCTTTTGATGCTTATTATGGATAGCAATGTTTCACCTTTACTGAAAAATGTATTTTTACCCAACTGATAACGCACAATATTGCTTGCCGTGTGCACGTGGACTTATAATGAAAGCAATTTCAAATAGTGCTGATTTTAAAATTTATCAGTACTTTGCAAAATAATAACGTGAAAAAAACCCACCTTAATAGAAATGGAGTGTTTTCAGAACATTCAAATTACACTATAAGCTTTATAAACGACAGTTCTATACAAGTTGTGTTATTAAAATGTGGCAAAAAAAATTCAGGTGCAGAAAATATTAGGATAGTATGCAACAGGTATGGTCATAAGTGCTCACATATTGTCGGCATTCGAGTTCCTTCACGAGTAATTTTCCATCTAAAAGTCGAAAAGGTAGACGAACCACTATATATATTATCATGGCAAATGCCCATTCAAAAATAAGGAATAATCCCTATTGGGTAAATATGGCACGCAAACGTCGACCAATCAAGAACGCACATGAAATGGCGTCCACCATACAAAAACGGAGCAGCATCCCTCGGCATTTAAGCGGAAGTTTAAAGATGAAAAGTGTGCAAATGTTTCCACAGATGGCGTCATATCACGCTATTGGTTGCTTTCTTTTCAGCAGCTAACTGTGCTCTGGGCGTTCATTGCGCGTATCTTCAGCGAGGTGTTCATGGTACCTTTCGAAACAATGACTGCCAAGCCGGATGTCGGTACTCATTTTGCACTGCTAAAATCATCCTAAGAATTTGACGCTTACACAGCTGCATCGCTGAGTAGGGTTGTCTGATGACGCCGATTAAGCAAGGAATGTTCAAGTTAGCCTATGTTTTTGTTTGCATGTGCTGGAAGGCATATTTCGGCTAATAGATGCTGCGAGAAAGCGTCTTACCCCAGAACGGGCGCATGTGGTTAATTTGCCGTTGGCTGGTTTATCCATAAAACCTGTTACGCAGGCAAGCAGATTATAAAATATAACGGATTTGAACGGTATATAATACTTAAAAACTATTGTCCGCTGTGTTGGAAATTTCTATTTTTGCCATGAAGGTTGTATTTTATATCACAAACAAGGAAATGCAAACGAGAACGCGAGCAAATACAAGGACGAATAGAATGACAGCTTTAAACCTTTATAGGCATTAACGTGAAACAAAATGTCTACCAACGCAAAACCCGGCATTTAATTGCTCCCTGAAAGTTTCAAAGTAAAAGACTGTGATATTGAGTCCCGTACTTGATATATTCGTCTGCATGAGGGCACTGGACCGTCTGCTAAAACACCACTGACTGCCTGCTGGTGGTTTGTGAATACCACGTGGGTATACAACAATTATATCTCAGCTCAAATATTCATATGCAATTTCAGACGGAGGCGGAAAATATCTGTGCGGACGGGTGTCCCCCAACCTTGCGCATTAATTTTCTCAGATATTACACACAGCAGGGTTCAGGTGGATCTAGTATAGCAGAAAACACTAATGAAAAGTTGGAAGGCCCACTAATCGGCCGAACCATTCAGCATCATGGTAAATACTTATGAATATGGGCATCTCTTTAATGCCATTATTTATCCGACAATCACCTTAGTCCTCACCAAACCCCAGAAGAGGTGCCGGAGCACACTTACCTCGTCCATTGTGCCCTAATTTGGGCTCTCTTATGGTAGTTCATACATTTTCTTAAGTGTGTTGACATTGTTACTGGTTGGTGGGCAACAACAGGCCTATCATTTGCTTACTTAGTCCGCCAATTTCATGCCCTTTATACGTTTCCACGTCTCCGATTATTAGTGCCGTGAGGTTGCAAATAAAGCAGACTAATCGTTTAAATGGGATATCAACACTAGTTTTATATTATTTATGAAACTTCAATTTTAAAATCTCCTTTTATCTATAAGTGCATACTTATTTCCTTAAAGTTCCCTTACAGCAAACTGATTTATATCTATTCTTACAGCAACATACATATCCTTAGGTAACAAGAGAAAATAGAAACAAACATAAGACCTCACAATGCACTCATATTTTAATGGTTTGTGTCATCATCGAATGAAACCTTTAGATAAACTTTTCATTTTTAATACCGTGAATGGGAGTAGTAGTTAGAAGTTGCTAACTGCCTGATTGAAGCGTTCAGTGGTTTTACCAGAAAAATGTGTTATGTTTAGCTATGAAACCCTGTAATTCAACAGAGTTGAGCTCCGGCACATAAATTAGCAAACGTACATTGGAGTAGACAAGGAATTGTACAAGCATATATTGGTGTGCAACCTCCCGGTTAGGATTTATAACAGGCCACAGAAGGCATGTAGTTATCGGTTTAAGAGTTCGGAACAGACTTTTCAGGTGTTACACATTCCACCACCAAGGTCCTCAAGGAATGCATAATGTGCGAACGTTTTCCTTGACACTGAAACACGAATTAGGGCAAATGTTCGCATACCAGGTATGTGTATAGAAGACGAAGACGTTTTGACTACCGGAAACATAATTTTATTCTTCTGAGCTTTCCGGCTCTTGCGGGAGTCCATCGTCAGAGATAAACTGTCAACGCA